AGGCTGCCCAGGGAAGTGGTGGAGTCCCCATCCCTGGAGGTATTGAAAAGACGTGTAGATGAGGCGCTGAGGGACATGGTTTAGTGGGCATGGGGGTGTTGGGTCGACGGTTGGACTCGATGATCTTAGAGGTCTCTTCCAACCTGAATGATTCTATGATTCTATGATTCTATGGTAAATGTTCTTTGCGTGACTGCCTTGCTGGGTTGCTTTCTGCTCATCCTTCTCTCCTACACCTTCATCCTTGGCCGCATCCTGCAGATACCTTCAGTGGAGGGGAGAGGCACAAAACCTTCTGCACCTGCGCCTCCCACATCGCTGTAGTGGTGGTGCATAACGGCTGCATCTCCATTATCTACCCGCAATGCAAATCGCCCCACGCTGCGGGAGCGAGTGCTGTCATTGATGTGTCCTAATGCTGTCTTCACCCCCTTCCTCAGCCCCATCGTTTTTAGTCTGTGGAGTGAAGACTTAAAAAAAAATGCCCTTTGGAAATCCCTGAGGAAAATCATCGTCGGGAATGTGAGTTTTTGGCCAGGGTCCAAGTGACAGCAGCTCCAGTGCCCTCGAAGCGGAGACATGGGCAAGTCCTCGAGAAGCAGCAGGTGAATCGGTCTGAGACCTGGTGCAGAAGACTTGTCCCCACCGTAGGGACGCTGACTGCTCTTCTCATCGTGACTTTGCCTCTTCCATTGATGGCTTTGGAGCTGATCCAAGAAGGTCTTGGATCATCTCCCTTTCGATTTGTTCCTCTTTTGACAAATTGCAAAAACCGCGTGGGGACCAACACAACTTACTGCTCTGCTGTTTCAAAAGTCCGGCTTGTCTAAGCAATTAAAGGTGGCTTTAAGAAGGTTCTTTACAATGAAAGTGTTTTGTTTGATTTAGCACTTAACATATTTGCTTATACAAAATATATGTGTGGGTGGTGAGCCACCTGGAGAAACCCTTGAGACGCAGAGGCTTGGAGGCCTCTCATGGAGCCGTCCTGAGTGTCCCAGTGCTGTTCTGGGCTTCCGAGCAGAAGAAAGGTGACTCAGACAGAAATATTGACCCCTTACATCCATACACATGACTCGGACATAAGCACATGTGGGTGGTTTTGGCTTTTTTTTTGGGGGGGGGGGCGTTGGGTTTTTTTTTGTTGTGGTTTAACCTCAGTTGGCAACTGAGAACCACCCAGCCGCTCGCTCACTCCTGCTCCCCCCCTCCCACCCCGGTGGGATGGGGGAGAGAATTGGAAGAGCACAAGTGA